AGAGCTATTGCCTGCATTCAGTTATTGTGAATTAAAATCAATACACAGAGCTTGGCAGCATCCTAATAGACCATTGCCATGCATTGCTTTGAAAGAAGTCTTAGCCCCACTGCAATGGGACTTGGGGAGGTGGGGGGAGGGGGCTAACAATTTTTGTGTGTTTCTTCTAAATAGCCCTAAACTAAACAGCATAGTAAATCCAGAAGCTACTTCTTCATTCAAGAGATAAAAATACTGTTTAAATTACTGTAACTGAAAGAACAAACTTCATGTTGTTTCTTCTAAACAGCCCTAAACTAAACAGCATAATAAATCCAGAAGCTACTTTTTCATTCAAGAGAGAAAAATACTGTTTAAAATACTGTAACTGAAAGAACAAACTTCATGTCTTGTTGAAGATTTCAATAAAACTATCATCAAAAATGTGATAGATTATGCACATGCATACGAATAATGGTAGACAAAGGCCAAATGTAATATCCCCTTAGTATTGTATTCAGTTTCTGGGATGTGAACTGGCTTCTTGCTGCAGACAAAGCAACTTTTCTGTTAGTACAACTAACTTTCTAATCAATCTGTTTGAAAAGCACAGGATCTGAGAAAAGTGGTTTTCAGTGCCAATACTGTTACACAGCCTGTTGGTACAATAGGATATTGAATGAATATAGTATTAAATTTTCCAAGATTTTGTAGATTTGAAACCTTCATCTTTATTTTACTGTTATTAAGGGTTGTGGGTCATTTGTGTTTTGCGTCAACTTTTATAATCGTTGCTAGTGGGATAATTTCTGTAATGAGAGGATCAAATGTTTCAATTAAATTTTGGTCATTGAATCTAACATGAAGTAATGTATATAGCTATTCAATTAAAAATAACAAGCTGCTGTGCTGTTCCTAGCCAAATAAAATCCCCCAAACAGTGGTCAATAAAGCACTTGAGGAAATTAAGTATTTGGAGCTACATATATCAGAAAAATCTTTTGGGGAAGGAAATGCAAAATGGCTAACATTTAAAGGGAGGGGGAGTGTAATTATTTTATGAGTCAAGCAAAAAAGGAATTATGCTTAGCAACAAGACAATAGCATCCTGTGCTTGAAAATATTTTGGTTATGCTTTATGGGACTCACTGCTTCTTGCTGGTTATAATGGCTATGCTTGGTCATCCAACAGCCATTGGAAGGGAGTTGAGAAATCTAGTAATAAGAGGGAATTTCTGTTTTGGGAGCAGTTTCTTAGCATGTGTGGGTAATGGAAGGTTTTAAAGCATTGCAGTGAATATTTACTTCATGACATTGCCAAGGCTCTTCCTGGGCTATGTGAATCATGTAATACTCCACTGTATCTAGAGTCAGTGTCAAGCACAGATAGACAGTCTTGCCCACAACTGAGCTTCATTTCTTGCTTCCATTTTTGCCTCTCTACTTTCTGTAGAGAAAAAGGGAAAATTTAATGAATGTGAGTCCTGTATAATGAATACAGAGCATCAGTATAAAAGTATTATATTACAGTGTGTTCAGAAATATCTGATGAGTAGACACAGAGGTAATTTTCATATGCTTTTTGAATTCTAAGCATCCATATAATTACCTAATTTCAAAACTCTCTTCATATAATCATAGAATCATTTAGGTTGGAAAAGACCTCTAAGATCATTAAGTCAGCCATTGACCCAGCACTGCCAAGTCCACGACTAAACCGTGTCTCAGAGTGCCACATCTACACATCTCTGAAATTCCTTCAGGGATGGGGACAGCACCACTTCTCTGGGCAGCCTGTTCCAATGTTTGACAACCCTTTCAGTGGGGAAATGTGTTCTAATATCCAGTGTCAACCAGCCCTGGCACAACTTGAAGCCATTTCCTCTTGTCCGATAGCTTGTGTGTTGGGAGAAGAGGTCAACCTTTGAGTGCTCCTTTGAGGTACTTGTAGAGAGAAATAATGTTCCCCCATGGGCTAATCACACCCAGCTCCTCAGCTGCTCCTCATGAAACCTGTGTGCCTGACTTCACCAGCTTTGCTGCCCTTCTCTGTACACACTCCAGCACCTTGAGGTCTTTCTTGTTATAAGGGGCCCAAAACTCTGCATGGTATTCTTCAAAACATAGTACAAGTACATAAGGTCCCGATTTATGTTGTAAATCCCAGTTGTGATTAGTTTCTCTGAACTCAAAAGTCATTAAATTTTTCTTCACTTAAAAATTTTTGGATAGCCTCCTGGCTACAAAGTTTTTCTGTCCATGCTAAGGGGAAAAGAGGATTGAGCTGACCGGGAAAATAATCCATAGCATTCTATTTTGCTTTTGCTTTTCCATTTGCAAACTCCAACCTAGCATTTTTGCAAAACATTTTTATATTTCCTGCTCATAAATGAGTGCAGCAGAGCAGTGTATCATGGCTCCATATAATTTCTATCCTGAAACAAGTCTTAAAGCCACAGGATCCACCTTTGTAACTGCAGAGAAAAATCTGCCTTCAATGGTCTAATGAAGTGGTGTGCACATAAAATCATTAACAACTGGTTTAAGACTGCCACTTTGTTATAAACAGGCCACTGAAGGCAACTTTTTCTTCCTCTTATGTATTTAAAGTGCTGTGTTTGAGATCTGAATGGTGCTTTTTCTGTTCTTTCAATAAAGTTTTTTGTAACTTGTCCAAAAAGAGAATCTATTAAAAAATACTGAACCTTCAAACCTTGTTTTCATTGAGGAACTAAAAGATTACTACCAAAGCTTAGAATTTACAGTCACTAGTCTACTGGCTAAAAATCCTCCTGATTTGTATATTTGAAAAAGTATATCGTGAAACTTAGCAATATACTTTTCTTCTTTCAATAAAGTTTTTTGTAACTTGTCCAAAAAGAGAATCTATTAAAAAATACTGAACCTTCAAACCTTGTTTTCATTGAGGAACTAAAAGATTACTACCAAAGCTTAGAATTTACAGTCACTAGTCTACTGGCTAAAAATCCTCCTGATTTGTATATTTGAAAAAGTATATCGTGAAACTTAGCAATATACTTTTCTTTTACAATTGCTCTCTTATTCTCTCTCCCTTCCTCCTCTAAGGCCCAAATTTATTGCTTCACTTTATCATCCACATCTGGAACACAGCTACAAATAAATGTTCTTCTTTGATTGTCTACTTAATTAAAATAAGCAAGTTACATTAGGTCTAATTGTTCCTTTTTGCTAGTTAGCTTGAGTATTGCTCCTTCTGTTGTCAAATGTGAAGGTCTTTTCTGCCCAAAAGCTTTTCTCTTCTTTTCTTATTTTTATTAGGTGGTCTAGTAAAGGATATGAAAAGATTCCTTCTGATCAGCTATTGTATCCAAATTATTGGTATGTCTGAGAATTTCAGCAGACTAAACAAAAGCTGTATTTTGTATTTTTAATCTTTTAGACTTGATGCACTTAGCAAACCTTGAGTTATATTTTGTATTTTTAATCTTTGACACTTGATGCACTTAGCAAACCTTGAGTTACTTCAGTTTATGTGCACCAGAACCTAAGCCCTGAATATGCAAAACAGTTCTCCCTTTTTCTTACTGGACAAAGCAATGAAGTGCAGCATTTCTTTCTGCTAATCTTGAATCTAGACTAGTCTAAGCTCTATAGTATCAAGCTCTGAGTTCCACTGTTATGTTTAAATTAAACAAAATAAATTCTCTACTACCTACTGCCCACTGTGTAAAATTCAGAGCAAGGGTTGAGGGCTGGGGTTTGGATGTATGACCTTCCCTCTTGTGCCTGTATTTCCCTACTAGCAGTTCTTCCTGGGCTAGGGCACATTACAAACTCTGTTGTCAACTTGCAGTTTTACCCTGGCAAGTCATCCTTTCAAGAGAAAGACTTTTCTCTCCCTGGATCTAGACACCTCATTTTTGGATCCTGTCTTCCTTTGTTCTAATTAATGCTTGCTTTCCACCATTAGTTTTCCTGCTCTTACACTCATGGTTCACCAGAACACAGATACATCTGTAAGACCGAATGTTTTAATGCATTAAAATAAGATGAAGGGCAGTCTGTGGTTAAGGCCTTTGTCCCTGACCCATCTTGCCTGGATTCACTTCTCAGCTGTATGTCATGAAACCTGTGCATTTCAGTTCAGCATGTAGAAACTTGTGATAACTCTTCTTACTCAACAAATAGTTCAGTTATAAACTCTAATTTGTGAAATGTGATCAAATAATATTGTATTGAATATCTGAAAATATATTAGGGTAAGATGTGTGAGCTGCTGATAGGAATGGTTAATAATGGTAATAAAGGGTCCATTACTTGTGCCTCTCTCATTCTGTTTGTGCAATCTTACTACAGCATTTATCCCAGCTCTGACATTTGTCTGGACATTAGATCAACTCACCTGCCAAAAACTGAGTATTTGTCATGGCTGAGTAGTAGAATTGCTTTAATAAAAGAGCCAAGCATCAGCTGACCTATTGCATGGGAAGGTAGCTAGTTGTCCAGGTGGGAGGAAGGTGTTAAATTCCATCAGTCTTAATATGTAGCATGTTGTTAACCTATGTCAGCCTTAAAATGTGGCTTCTTCCTTAAAACATATTGCAGACCTAGTGATAAATGAACGAGAGAATGAATGGAGTAAATGAATAGAGACAAGCATTTTTGTGAGCTGCTTCTCCAAAGCACTGTCATATGATCTTTCCCAATACATTCCTTTTTTTAATGCCATGTTGCCTGAATCTGCTAGCATTTTGGAGTTTCTCTTGCTGTGGGGGGATAATCACCTCTGAAACCAGACTTTGTTTTCTTATAGCTGTAAAAACCAATATGCACATCTTCACCCAATATAAACTCTGTTGAAGTTAATCCAAAACAAAATAGCATTTTGCAGAGTGCAAGTGACACTGCTAACAACGTGTCATAGTAAAGTTTTGTATACAGTGTTTGAATAGTTCCTCCTATAGTTTTAAAACAAACCAGCCTCCAAATGTGGCATGTAATTGTTTTATGAACAGTTTCCTCCTTTGTTTTCTATTTAGGAAGAGCCCTTCGTCATGGTGTCTGAAAATGTTTTGGGAAAACCGAAGAAGTATCAGGGTTTCTCCATAGATGTGTTGGAAGCCTTGGCTACTTACCTTGGCTTTAAATATGAAATTTATGTTGCACCAGACCACAAGTATGGGAGTCCTCAGGATGATGGGTCATGGAACGGACTGATAGGAGAACTGGTATTTAAGGTAAGGCTACTAATGACTTACTAAATAAGATCATGTGATAAAAGCTAAGCAATATGTGGTCTATTCTGTTTGCATCAGCCAGTAACCTTTTTTTATGAGTCATTGATAGCACTTTGTTCACTGTGTGTTGCCAGCTTTTGATAGTGTGCTCAGGTGCATTGGGCAGTAAAGACAAGGCTAGAAATAGCACTTGCCAGTAACTACTAAAGAAGCAGGCCAATCTCTTTTTCTCAACCAAAGTAAAATTTAAATGCAGTCAAATAATGAGATGCACAGCATCCTAATTAATTTGGCAAGACCTGACACAAGTGACTTGAAAATGCTGTTCAAAAGGGGAAAAATTGGTGTTGCAACAATTAGCAATACATTGCATAAATAATGTATAGCACTTAGAAAAATGTTGGTGTGATGAATACATGAAGTATATAATCAGCAGAAAATGTTTTAGTGATATATAATAACACATTGTGTAGATGTATGAATCAAGAGTCATATATTCTCTATTCTGTAATTAATAAACCATTTAGTCTACTTAATTTGACATTAAATATTCAATATTACATCATAAATGAATTAAACCAAATACATGTGCAATACTTCCCCCCTTTTTGTTTCACTCCTCACATCTTCTCTGCTTGAAGTTTCTTCCACTGAGAGAGACAGTAGGCAGGGATTCAAATAACTCTAATAGCATGCAGGGGGTGATAACCACCCAGATCTATAAATTGATGTCATGAGTGCCACAGATTTACCAGCCTGTTACAATTTTGCTGTAAATGAGTCTTAATGGATATGAAATCTTTTTGTACAATTACAAAGTATGAAGAGTTAATGGAACTTCATTTGGGATTCAAAACCCATGTTTTCCCAATACTATGCCAGTGTATAATTTTTTTGTTTTCCTTACCCTTATAAAATTAATTAATGCTAAAGGTTCACTGCATCCTTCTCTCCCAATCTGTCCCTCTTAAGGTAGAAGAGAACCTTTGGGTGAGCAACCAGTGTATATCTACCCCTTACCAAGTGCAAGCTGTTCTTCCAAGGCTGCTTTCTTATTTACTGTGGACTGAGTTCTGCTCCCAGAACTAATATCCATGCTCCTGGCAACTTTATAAGGGGAAGCAAAGGAGCAGAGAAGAGTTTTAAATTAAAAGTGTAACCTGTTTGAAACACAGTGTTTCCTTGTTTTCCCAACCAAGTTTTACATGATACTCTGGCCAACAAGTGGAGGAATTCCAGAAACAGTGAGAGTGCTCTTTGCCTGTTAGTGTGTCAGCCAAAAATGAGTTCTGCAAAAGACAAGTGGCACTCAAGGGCAATGGGAAATACCTGCCTTCTCTTTTTGAGTGCAGGGAATCATAGAACCATCTAGGCTGGAAAAGCCCTTTAAGATCCTAGAGTCCAACCATTAACACTGCCAAGTTCACTACTAAACCATGTCTCCAAGTGTCATATCTACATATCATTTAAATACCTCCAGGGAGGGGGACTCAACCATTTCCCTGAGCAACCTGTTCCAGTGCTTGGTCACTTTTTCAGTGTATAAGGTTTTTGTAATATCCAGTCTAAACCTCCCCTGGCATAACTTGAGGCTATTCCTCTTGTCCTAGTGCTTGTTACTTGGGCAAGAGACTGAACCTCACCTTGCCACAGCCTACTTTGAGGTACTTGTAGTGAGAGAGCAATTGTAGGGAGCATCTCATTGACAAGGGCATCTGTGGCCACTACAGAACATGTGACATGTGAAATAGCAGTTGCTGTAGCAAGGACATGATTTCTATGTTCAAGATCAATGTATGTGTTTTGCATTAATCATATTCAGCATGCAGCAGCTCTGGTGCAGATGTGCTTTGCATTAACCATATTCAGCATGCAGCAGCTCTGGTGCAGGTCCTGGTGTCAGTGAGAGCAGTCCCAGGCTGATCTTGTTTGCAGCAGCTCTGCTTGAGTTGCAGGGCAGGGCAGAAGTCTTGTGGTGCCAAATACATGTCCTAGGCCCACAGCTGGCTTTGCAGGCATGACATTATGCCAAGTTCACCCTGTTCCAGCTTTGAAGAAAATGTGTCTGTTGGCTGCTAAAATAGGAGTTGGAATCAGCAGAACAAAGCAACTTGTCTGTAATTTGAACTTGGAAACGATTCAAGCCTCGCCTCCTTTGATTGTCAGGGCCTGTATTAGGTAGACACTTAGTCTATACACCTCCTCTTGTCAAAATAAACTGAATGTAACTGCTCTGTGTGTTTCCTAAGCTCTTTGAAAGAAGGACGTGGTGCTTTTCTGCCTCTCCTGTCAAATGACCAGGGCTTTCAGTGCATCCTGTAGACATTCATCTCACAAACAGAATTAGTTCAGAGAGCAGCAGATTTTTGTGGAGAGGCTAAAACCATCTCAAGGGAGCAACACTTTATCACAAATCTTTCTCTTACTGTTAATAATCTGTTTCTTTTCCCAGTGATTCCTTTAGTTGCCCTCTCTCCACATTGCCTGAGCGATAGGCCTGTGTAACAGGCAAGAGAAGTGGCTAATGCCACTTGTGGGAGGCAGCAGTGGCTTTCCAGCATGACTCTGGGCTTTCTGGTGATACTCACATACATCAGTCATTACTTTCAACATTTCACCATGCTGCCTTGCTTGCTAGGGTTTTTTTTCCAATGAGGAGCTATCAGGAAGCAAATAGCATCGGGAAAACTGACTGATTCCACTTAGGTCCATCAGAAAAGGAAAACTAAATACATACTTAATCATTTCTAAGAGAAACTGCAACCCATGTAGGAGCCCCTTATAAGGCTCTTTTTCTAATGCACCTTCCTAAGGGGAATAGCGTGAGAAGGAAGCAAACATGCATTGAGGACAAAGTGAGAGGGAAAAATAATAGATGAGTAAAAGGAGAATTATTTGGATGTATGTGTGTTACCTTGAGTAAAAATGTCTCTCTGATTAGTTTTTGCAGGTCCATGTTAATAGCTGTGTACCTTATGGGACTGTAGTTTATTGTTCTAGCATTTGTTGAAACTTGATTTAACATTGAAAATGGATAAAATGAAAGGCCTCCCAGGAGCAATTTAGAGTAGGTTCATTTATGTTCCTTGATCTTGATCATGAACCACAAGAATCAGCAGATTTCTTTCCATGTGTACGAGCTGTGCTTGCTTAAGCAGTAGCTTTGGGACATTTCAGAGATTTCTAGCCTTTACTGATGAGCTAGTTCTGTGACACCAGTAACAATGCTGTCAGAACTATTTGGTCATTTCTTCTGGATTTTCTAATCCTTGTAATGTTGCTCTATGATGGCCTCAGGAGAACTGTTGCTAAGGAGGATAAATATCAATTCCTAAGCAGGTCACAGGTCACAGGTCACAAAATAATGTCCTCTGCTGTTTTTTCAGTCAGTTTCAGAAGTCACAGTTTCATTCATGGGAAATATGTTAAACAGATATGTAAGGTGCTGATAGTTGGTTGATTCTGGCACTGCAAAAACTTAGTAGCGTGGGGAGTTATGAAGGTTTATAACTCAGATTGGCAGCTTTATATCAAAATATTGACATAATTGCATGCATTTGCCTTTCTATCTCAGAAGCACTAAATGAACCTTTACTTCTTCAAACTGACATCTTTTCTGATCCAATCTGACATGTTAATGACAAGCATTTAATTTTTTTCATCTTCAAATTTTGAAACCAGTTGACAGAATCTATAAGTAATCAAGAATGTGTACCATCATTATCAAGTGAAGCTTAAGCTTGGTTTTGTGCTAAACATAGAGTTTTCTGGTAAACTGGTGTTTATGATCCAATTTAGTAAGTTAAGAATATGAGTTGTCATATTTCAGTGTAGCCTTTTTTTTTTTAACATCTAAACACAGAAGTACTGAGAAGTCATGATTTCTGTCCTTTCTATATTTTACTTTACTACCTCTCAAGAAGTAAAGACATATCATAAAATCATAGATTGGCTTAAAAATCATCTAGTTCCAACCCTCAAGCCATGGGCAGGGCCACTTTTCACTAGATTGAGCTGCTCAGAGCTCAGTCCAGCCTGGCCTTGAACACTTCTAGGGATGGAGCATCCACTGCTTCTCTGGGCAACCTGTTCCAGTGCCTCAGCACCCTCACAGGGAAAAATCTCATCCTAATATCTAATCTAACTCTGCTCTCTTTCAGTTTAAAACCATTCCCCCCTGTCCTGTCACTACATGCTCTTGTAAAATGTCTCTCTCCACCTTTCTTGTAGCTTCCATTTAGGTACTGGAAAGCTGCAATTAGGTCAGCTCAGAGCCTTTATTATACATGTAGCACACAAGGTAGCAGGACATAATTACATCACGATTGATGTAACATTTCCATTAGGACAATACTCTTCCACTGTCATAGCTGGCTGGCTGATAACCATGATGCTGGGGAATGCAGAAACACTGCTCCCCAGAGATGTAAATTAGAAGTAATATTTTCATAAATACCACATGGTCTGTTTTTTTTTCATGCAATGCTTTTCAACGTATTTCACAGGGAGAAAAGTTTCTCTGTAAAGGGGGGAGAGGCAAAAGAAAATTCTATTAGTCATACTAAAACTAGTATTTAGTAAAGTATCTTTGTTTATGTATATTGCTTTTCATTGGGGAATCTTTAAGCATCTTACAAATATAACAATGCAACTTGAATGAGCAACTCACAGTCACCCAGTGTAGTAGGGAAGTATTTTAGTACATACTGATAATTAACAGCACAGGCTATGTCTAGAGCTTTTGGTTTCCACATGTGCTCCTTTAACCTTGAATTTTCCTATTTTGCTTTTTGCTGTACATTCAGGGGAAACCCACAAACAAACAAACAAACCTCCAACAAACTAATGCTATTCATTAAATACAACCAGAATTTCCAGTTTGACCACTGTTGGACTTTTACATTTGTAAATTATTTTAAAAATACATTTATATGCAGTTACAGAAAAGAGTTCAATTGCTGGCTTGTTTGAATCTTTCTTGTTGGAGCTAGGACTTGACTGTTAGCAGATACTGTGAATCACTCTAGTCACTTGTTGACCAGAGGTTTTGTAATCAGAGGATAGAGACACTCAGATAACCTGAATGTTTCCATGGGCAATTCTGATTACTGATGCTGCTGCTCATAGGCAAAGGACAGTTAAACTCTCACTCACAAAAGTTTGTTTAGAAGGTACATGAAATGAATTCATAAAGCCATTCTTTCAGCAGTGCTCATCAACACAGCTTCACTTAAGGCACTAGAGACTAGAACACACAAATGAAAGCTGAGGCTGTAATTCATATCTTTCAAGCAAATAAATATTTTCAAACACTTTTTTGTCCAAATCATCAGACCTCCATCTATCTTCTGCCACTTTCTCAAGCCAGTGAACAATTAATATAAAGTAACATCATCCAAAGTGAAGTTTTAAGTGTACTCTGATTAGAAGTATGTTTGTACCATGGACTGCAGTGTTTTCCACATCATATTAAATAATCCCAGGTGATTTGCTAATTTTTCTAATCAGTTTCAGCTGTCATACCTTCCCACTCAATATTTCACATCACATTTCTAAGGAACTAGTGATCTCTGTCTTCTTTGGACAAGAAGAAAGAAATTCAAGAGAAGTAATAAAATTTGACACAGTACTTTCAAGCTTTTGTGCTCTGCTCACCCATTTCCAAAGGACCACACACTGCTTTAGGCAGAACAAAAATGGATTAAATCATGGTAGCAACAGCTTAAAATATTTTAAGTACTCTTCTTTCATATTAAAATCTCTAGAATTCACGGTATTGTTACTCAGGATTTGGGCTTTTAAAAATGGTATTCTTGCAGTTCTAATTGCACCAGTGAAAAGTAAAATATCACCTGCTATTATAGCCTGATGTCTCTGGAGACCGAATACATGCTGTGAAATACAATGGTTACATCAAAGAATGTTATTCAGCCTGTTTTCGTCTGAAATGGGTTGTTTAAATTACAAATAGAAATGGCACAAACCAAGTCCAAGGTAGCTGCAGGACAGGTTGGCATTGCTGGAGGAATTGCTTGTCAGGAGGATATAGAGGAATAAATAGTAAAGGGACTGCATGCAGTATCTGCTCTTCTGCACTTTACACTTTCCAGTTGAAACTGATGTTTTACAGAATTTCAAATGCTCCTAGAGTAGTAGCCCTTTGTCATGATCACCAGATCATCAGAATATTGGATATAATGTGGCTTTATCAGGCAACTAATTTCATGTGTTTGCATATGCTATACATAGAATCATAGAATCACATAATTTTAGGTGCTGGAATGGACCTTGCAAATCATCTAGTCCCAACACCCTCTGCCATAGGCAGGGACACCTCCCCACTAGACCATGAGGGGACCTAAGTCTGCCTTTTGCCACAATGGCAGTGACAGCTTTAGTAAGCCAGGGTGAGAAAAATGACCAAAAGTATATTTCCTCCAGGTATTATATGTATTTGTAGTGTTTTGATTTCTTGGAAAATAACAATGTGGAGAGCTAATGTGCCTGAGTCCACCAAGTGATGTTTGCTTGCAGAGACTAAGACATATGATACATCTATTCAAGCCTTAGTCATGTTTCTGTGCCCACATATATGATGCTGAAGACATTAGTCTTGGCATCTGCTTCTCCATCAGTTGAGCTGCTATAAATCACAAATATTATTTCTGTAGCTCCTACTTATGTGTATTGTTCTCTCTCCTTCTTCTCAGAGAGCTGATATAGGGATCTCTGCCCTAACCATCACCCCTGACAGGGAGAATGTGGTGGATTTCACGACACGTTACATGGACTACTCGGTGGGTGTGCTGCTTCGAAAGGCAGAGAAGACAGTGGACATGTTTGCCTGCTTGGCACCGTTTGACCTGTCCCTGTGGGCATGCATTGCTGGCACTGTGCTGTTAGTGGGGCTACTGGTCTACCTCTTGAACTGGCTGAACCCCCCACGCCTTCAGATGGGATCCATGACATCCACAACTCTCTACAACTCCATGTGGTTCGTGTATGGATCCTTTGTGCAGCAAGGTAAGAGACAGAGGGAGACTCTGCCTCAGAGGGTAAGCCTGTATATCCTCCCTATTGCTAAAGAGACCTTCTTCTCCCCTGCCTCCCTCCCACAGCCCATGAGGAACTGGGAGCACTGGAAAGCCTTGTACTATTAGGTTTCTAAGGCATTTGGCTGCCCAGTGTGGGAACTGTGGGAAGTTCAGAGCACTATGTGCTTGCTTGTTTTGATTTGTTGTTGTGCCATTAGAGAAAGGTGGTTTTCCTCTGGGTAAAATAAAAAGAAGTGTTTCTCATCATCTGCTAGAGAATTATTCATCATTAATGAGTGCTATGTTCTTACACAGTCAGACAGAAAATGCTGGGATTTGGATTTTGAACTAAGTTTAGACTAGTCACGAGTGCTAAATGGTCTTATTGTATCTTTGATATTCTTTCTTCCCTCTTCTGATTTATTTGAATTTTCCTATATAATGTTTAGACTCAAGTTTCTCTGGCCTTCCAGATGCTTTCTCAATCCTCTCTAACATCTGTTGTAGTCCAGGCTATTCCCCAATTCTGCTTATATTCCCAAATCCTTCACATTCTATCTCTTCTGGCAGAGTTTTAAGCACACATCCTAAAGACATCAGGGACTACAGGTGTTGGCTGGCTATATAATAAGTAAACACAGCTTAATATAAGAATAAGGAAGGTTTAGATAATATCACTCAACAACAAAATAGAGCTAATACCTTCTGGCTTATCCATGTAATTGCCAGTCACTACAGGCACTGCAGGTGCACCTAGATGTAATTGCACAGAACATCTGCTCTGCAAACATCCATGGGCACTGCAGCCTCAAAACTCCCAGACAGATTTTTGCATTTGACATGAATTTGGATGGAAATCTCTAGGTGAAGGTATTATATTTATGCAACAATGGCAAAATGTAGTTTAGAATTGCATTATTCTCTGTTAGAAATAATCAGATGACATCCATAAAAGCTAAAGATATGCATGAAAATCAAGTATAAAATTCCTAGGAGGGAAAAAATACCCCTAAGTTAATGTCACCATCAAAAAAATGAAGAAAAGCTGAAGCTGAGACTTTGCACAAGAGATGGAATTTTAAATGCATCAGCCTAGAGGCACTGGTTTCAAAATTACCATTTGCATTGAGCAGTGATGGTGAGCTGATGAAAGGTAAGGAAATTGTTTTAAGCTTGTTGTGAATTTTTATTTTTTTTAAAGAAAACTAAAGACGTTAGAGCCAGCTGATGCTATAGAGGTTTCTTGAATGTATGTGGATATGTTTATAAAGTTTCTTTCTGTCCAAAATATTCCCAGTGTAGCTGCTTAGGGAATCCAACCATAAGAGAGCAGTTGGTCCATTACAGGATGAGGTTCATTACATCTGTCTTTCTGTTTGGTCAGAACTTCTGAATTAGTTTCTCTACTGCATGAATGTGAGTCATTTTACATAGGTTTATTGCTTAGTATTAGCTTTAGCATCCCTGCTGTCTTCCCAACATTAGTCCCTAAAAGCTTTGGAGGAGACTGCCCAGTTTAAAGGAGATTTAAAGGAGGTAAAGCTAGTTTAATCACACACTACAAGCTGAACAATTGCTATATGAATTATTTGCCTAATGTTTACTCAAGTAAGCCTGTGTTGCCTGGTGTTCTTAAGTTTCCTAAGTCATAGGAGTAGCCCACAACGGAGCCCTTCAGTAGATGCTCAGTTACCTTACAAAAAAAAGGGGGATTTTGACCAGTTAATAAAACCTGAGTGCTTAAGGAGGGCTTGGAGGGAAGCCATGAATTCAGCATGAAGAAGAAGTTAGATGAAAAGTAGTGGAACTGGATGACACAAAAAAAAAAAAAAAAAAATTCAATAGAAAAAAAATAAAGAAAAGGAATTCATTCAAGGTGATGTGCATCCACTCCCTTTGGTAAAAAGGGACATGAGGTGCAACTCAGTATTAGTAAAACCTGCTGTTCATACATGGCATCTGGGAATACCAAAACTGCTGTGGGGCTTCAGAAAAAGAAATTCACAGAACTTGAAAGGTGAGAGTAATTATTTACACAGAGAGAGATCTTACCACCCTATCAAATGGATTTTCAACACAACTCTATAGAATCCACTAGAATAATACAAAATATTCGCTTGGCTCCTACTGGGAAAGCTACAGATACATCTCTGCTTCAAACAGGATACCAAAATATATGAAACTTACAGACCAATTTAAACTCAAGAACTCAGAAATCAAGTGCAAAAGAGTGAGAGATCCATTTATAACATCAGCCTGTATTTCACATTCAATTTTAATATAACAAAGACTATATTAGCTGAAGCAATATTGTTTACTAACTCTTGTAAATACAGACAAACGAAAGTAATTTTCATTGACAGGGTGACTGGCTATTGTGGTAATTTTGCCTCTGATTTCACTCACCAGCTCTTCATTCAGCAGAAAAACTCTGCAGGTTTTGTTTGTTTTGGAATAGCAAATCTGTTGCTATTAATCGTGACTGGCATATCTTAAGTGCAGCAGCATGGGACATTTAAAATACTGTCACATTCACTTAAGAAGTCTTTCAGCTGCTGATTTAAAGCATGACAAGGTACTCATTTCTGATATCAAAACATACAACCAAATGTGCTTTTAGATCCTGTGCTGACAGAAACAAAGCAGCATGAACCAAGGATTGCTAGTGCTGGATTCTTTGGGGCTAGCAAGCCTTTCTGGCATCATCTTCTCTTTCTTTCCTCTAGTTAGAGGGAAAATTTGCAAGTACACAGGCTGGCTCCAGACCTGTCATGGCTCTGAAGACAAAAGAGGCCTCTGGTGCAAAAATACAAGTCGTTCTTTAAGGAAACTCATAACCTATTATGTTTGAAACAAAAAGGACTTTTTTTGCTCATTTCTTCTGAAAGAGTTCAAAACTGCAGATTTTGTCAAGTGGCTTTAGTTCAGTGTGTCACTTTTTATTTTTGTTCAGCCTCGATTCTGATGTCCTTTTCAAATTCCATTAACAAGTTTTAACCTTTTACAATTTTTGAAACAGCAGAGAAAGATACTGTGTCATTGTCTATAGACTAAAGTCAACACAGATCAATCCAGTGGTTTTGAAGGCAGGTCTATGATCACTGGCATGCTCAGTTGCAAAATGTCAGTATTTTTAGTCGCTTTCTTAAAGGTAGACTGAAACTTAATGTCACTGATTTTTGTATCACTTAAACATAGGTCTTGAACTTGACTTTCAGTTTTTTTCCTCCCTTGTTTCAATGACCAATCTAGGTACCATTTTAAGACTCTGGTAATATCGAGGTATATTTTTAAGTTACGCTTTTTATTTGATGTTCATTCATTACAGAGAGCAATCAAAATAATATCAATTATTTTTGTAAGATACATGTGATTTTTGTTAATAGAAGGATTTTGAGGATAAAGTTCAATATAACTGGGGAGGCTAAATTAATAGAAAAACATATAAACAGAAAAGTGTGGGTTTTTATTCTGTACTCAAACCCTTCATAAGAAGTAGAAGGAAAAAAAAAAAAAGGCAGCCAGTGCATTGAAATGCATTGGTTTGCTGCCCAATATATTCACTGAATCTGCAATATACTATGACCACTAAAAGGGCAGAGACTTTGAGGTGATCTTGGCCATGCTGGCATGGATTATATTAAAAACAAATGCTTCTGACTCTGAAGTACTCATTCAGGCATGAGTAGTTCAGGTAACATCTGTTATCTCCAAGTTGTCTATTTGTGTCTACACAAGTGGGTTTCCTCTCTCTCTCCCTCCATATTTCTTCTCAAGCTTCTCCTCACAGGTTTTGTTCTCTCCCTGCCTCACATTGCAGCTGGTGGTCACCACTGCTGTAGTATTCTAGTTGGATATCACCCGTAACCCCACGGGTCCTGCTGCTCCTGCTCTTCCTCATTGACTTGGCTCCTTCACAGGCTTCTGTCCTTACATCTTCAGCAAAGCTAAAGGAAGAGAAGGGCAAAGTCCTGCCCTGGGGAGGAACCACCACACACACTGGTGCATACTGCAGGGTACCCAGCTGACTGACCACGGCACAGGCTGCCCAGGGAGGTTGTAGATTCTCTGTGCTTGGAGATCCTCCAAAGCTATCTGGACATGATCCTAGGCAACTGGTCTAGGTGGCCCTGCTTGGGCAGGACGTGTTTGGACAACATGACTTTCAGAGGTCCATCCATACTTCAACAAGTCTGAGTGATATATGAATAATGATATATTATGTAGTCTTTACTCAATTTTTATACTATTCTATACAACCTTTTTTAAATTCTCTTCAGCCCTGATATTGTTGCTATTCCCTCAAATTTTGCCCTAATTAGAGCTTGCCAATGTTGGGAACCCACCATATGAACAGGCACAAAGAACTGTCTCAGAGAGTAAACTTGGGTTTTCTAAAAACTTCGCTAAAAATCTTCAGCAAGATTAACTGAATCAACTCACTGTGATGGCACAATGACTAAGGTTTTCTATTAGCTTCCTGTTAGGGGCTCTTGGTATGAAATACTCCAGGGAGCACTCTGCTCCCACTGTTACTGGAGAAAAACAATGATTTAAGAAAAAGAATTTCAGGATTTAGAGTTATTCCCAACCCTTTTTGTAAAATAGATCGGGTTTTGAGACAGATGAAATGCTGCATAATTTTTACCAAAAGCTTGCAGAAGAATGTTCTAGAGCATTTTACTTTGAGAGCAACCTCTCAAGTTTTGCTTCTGAATACAATGATAAGCTTACTCAGTTTAACAGAATTAAACTGAATGTAGACAATATAATGAAGTTATAGAAAATTACAATGTCTTTTATTTAATATGAAAGACACGATAAAAGAGTTTTTCTATATCTTCTCCCACTCTGCTCATTTTGCTTTGAATTTTTCTGTAAGAGGTATTCAGGTATTTCTGAACTGGCCTGGCAGGTTTTGTAAGAAATAGAACCAGGGAGACTTTTTTCTTGTGGGGGGTGTGCTGGTTTTGCTATATTGAAAAATAC